CCCCCACCCTGTTCTGCTCACACCCCGTTCCTCTCTGAAGTCACAATTCCAGTCCATTTGCAGCAATAGTATTAAGTCTAATAAAGTCAGTATTTTAAACCCAGTTCTTCACAAAGAAAGTACATTAAAAACCAAACAAATACAATCCTGCAAGCATCTGCATCAGCTGTTTGGGGTTTCCACAAAACTCCTCCCCCTTCTCTCCTCCTCTGAACCAGTCAGCGTTTCTGCATGTGGTCTTTTGTTGTTGTTCTTGTTAATACATCCCAGAGTTTTCTGTGCATACTCGACCTGTGCACGTATATGTTTTTTCTGTCTTTTTGAAATGTTTGTTTTGCAATTAATGAATGCTCCTTGTGATCAAAGAGAGAAAAGGGGCTATGTTGTGGCAGTGGAGGAGGGAGGGACGATTGTGGTGGTGCATTCTTGTTTCATTGGCATGTATGTGGATGAGCTGTGTGTGTATTTTTCGACGAGAGGGAACACTAAAGGTATTTCACCTACTTCTACATGTGGCTACCACAGGTGGAGAAGGAGTGCAGAGGGAAATAAAGGTGGAAGTCTGCATGAAGGGTCTGTTTCCATGGTAACAACCCCGTCATCTCCTCAGCACACCTCTAAAAGCAGTCCTCCGCCAACAAATGTCCGTTTCTCTCAGCACGCTCAAGAGGCTGGAAGGGTGGTCAAGGGCGAATGGACCAGGGAGCAGGACGAGGGACTTAATAGGTTTTCTGGATAATTCCTGGTATCAGAAACAAGTCAGGACATCACACAGGTTAGCAGCAAGAGTTCACAAAACAGCAATGGTCACAGGTGATTGGATGGTTAGGGTAGAGGAGTGGATAATGGTGGACAGCGAGGAATGATGAAAAGGGGAGTGTGTTTGTCACGTAGTTGAAGTATGCCGTTTGTAAAATATTACTTTGATTCTCTCAGTATACTTATACAAAAACAAATGTCCATAAATGATTATGTACATCTACCTATGTACAGAATCTTCTCTCTGTGTCACCGGCTTATAGGGATACTGGGAGCGGTTTTAGCCCAATGCCAACTACACAGCGTCTCTATTTAAGATTCGTCCTGTGTCCCCACAGATGCAACTGACAACCTTGCTCTCTCTCGGCCGGCAGCCAGGCTTTTGGTGTCATTATTTTCCAGTTCGTGCCTCCGGATGTGCATGGGCGAGGGGCAGTGCTTGGAGGGCGTGCCTGAGGGGTAGGGCACCTGTCCGTTCTTCTCGTCTGAAAAAAGTTGTTTAATTACGTCAAAGAAGTTACTCAAAGGGCTGCCTAGGTACACAGACAGGAAGAGGACAAAAAGGGGAAAGAGAAGAAAGACAACAAACAAACTAATGAACAATGCGGTTCACAGGATAGACACATGGCTACAGGTAAGACAGGGCAAGCAGAGACGAGGAGGAGGACCGACACGCAGCGGGATGAGAACTGCTGGGACAGCAATGAGGGGCCATGTAGTCTGTGTCTGATAAATCATGCATTTGTTACAGCACAATCAGTAACACACATAACACACAACTATTTAATATAATGCTAGAAATGATAGCAAATAGTGGGGCTTAAATATAGACATCTGTAGACATCTGTAGACCGACAGCAGTGTAAATGTCTTGAACATATATGGTGTGCCAAGTAGGTCTGGCTAGCCAGAAGCAGGACAGATGATGGAAGGACAACAGTGAGAAAGCTTGGAGCTTCAAGACAAAGCTACACTTGAAGGATAAAAATATCAATGTCTCCTCTCCTTTTCTGCAGACGTCATAGAACTGAAGGGCGATTTGAGCCTTGGCAAAGCTCAGAAGATGGATGCTATCTGCTCACAGCTATTGCACCATGTGAAGCCCATCTAACACAGGCTTAAGTCATCTTAGAGCAAAGAGACAAACTATGATCAACATGCTTCTCCACTGGAATTCAGACTCCTACACTTCAGTGAACTATGAGATTTGTCCTAAGATGTCAAACACACTGGGGGGCTGCATCATCATTGTTCTACAAGAAAAAGTCAAGACTGGTGATTTAAATCATAAATTATGCCTCAACTTGATGTTGTAGAAAACAGACAGCTATGCTAAATAATAAAACATTTATTTCTCTCTAACTACTATACACCGATCAGCCATAACATTATGACCACTTGACTAATACTGTGTACACAGGAGATGATGCGACAGTTGGTTGGTAGTCGTGTCACTCTGCAGCTCACTGTGCATCTTCTGTGAATCTGTTTGCTTCCATAGTTGTACTGTCAGGAAGAGCACAACTATCTCTACCATTCAGTGAACAACTTATGTAAAAGGAGTGAAGACTGTGGTTGTGAGGACAAGTTAGAGAGAATTTTTTAGACAAATTCAACAGCCTCCCCACTCTAGGTGTGATATTACCATTTGCCTGTTCACTGTGTGTCCTTCCTTAGACCAGTGTCGGTAGGTACTGACCACTGCGGACCAGGAACACCCACCAAGACCTGCAGTCTGGGAGATGCTCTGACCCAGACATCAGCTGTCACAGTTTGGCCCTTGTGAGAGTCTCTCAGATCCTTATGTTTGCCTGTTTTAACCACTTCCAACACATCAACATTGAGGACTGAATGTTCACTTGCTGCCTAATACACCCCACACGCTGACAGGCGCCACTGTAAGATAAGTGTTATTCACTTCACCTGCCAGTGGTCATAATGTTATGGGTGATCAGTGTAACTGCACTAAGGGTGTGTGTATGTGTGTCTGTCTAATAGTTTGCATGCAGATCTCTTGCTAAACACACTTTTTCTACAGGGTGTTAAAGGTGCCACTGCAGGTAGGTGGTGGAGTAAAGACATCAAACATGAGAAATGGAGCATATAAAGAGTCAGTGTTCTTTTTATTAATGGTGCACACACACAGCACATCTCTGGGACCTATCAATCACAAACGGTACTGTTTTAAATACTTAGTAAAAGAGCCATGTCCTCAACTGAGTCCTGTGGGTCGACAAATGAACAGTGATCTCATCAGTAAAAACAGGCCGGGGTGCTGCACACATGACACAAAACACACACAGACCTGTGTCTGTGTATCAGCACAGAAATGCTCATCTAAGCTAAATGAGAAAATGTGTTTTTGTTGTTTGTTTTTCTATGTGTATATATTGTATGTGAGAGAGAGAGAGAGAGAGTGTGTATGTAGGCATGTGTGAATGTGCCACAGTTGGTTTCAGCCGTTCCATTATCCAGCTGGACAAAGGATGCAGCCAACTTCTCCCTAATGTGTGAAGAACTCCACATTTACTCATTTCACTCCACCCATATCTGCACTTTTTCAAAAAATGGCAGGATACTTCTGAAACTAAAGGATCTACAGTAAATGATTCATTTAGAATGATCTAGGTAAAAAATAATTAACAATTAATGCATTACTTATGTTTTATCATCAAAATCGTTCTTATACTACACACAGCACTGAATTTTACCCTTCCTGTGTCATCTCTGCTGCACAGACAACCCACAGCAGTCGTTAAAACCCAATCTAATGTAATTTATTCTAATTTTACCCTTCCCATGCCTCAACATCTTAATTTGCTTGACAATATAAAACATCAGAAGTAATTGGTAAACTTACTGAGGCACTACAATGTGAACAGACTGTTAAATATCACAACACCTGTCATGACTGCTGTTCATTTCTGTGTGCCAATGAGAGTAATGCCAGATACCAAAGATACACCTCATACTTATCAACTTAGTAGTGACAGTACAATATCAAAAGCTATATGATATCAGTTCAATAACCTGCGACTGACACTGAAACAAAAGCATTCAGACACTACGACTACGATTTACATTTGTGATGGAACAACATCCAAAAGAAGACAGCACACCTCCTCCCGATATGAAAAAAATTAAATCAGGCTGATGGTGTTCCCCTGTCTGACCAGCAGGTGGAACTATTGTCAAAAGGATGGCCACAAACACAGCAGATGATTCACAAGGAAGGACATGCAACGAGCAGAAGAGGAGTAGAAGAATCCCTCCTTCTTTCCTCATCATCCAGGCTGTGTGTTGAGTAAAAATACAGCTGGAAAGAACAAGTTTATACATGCTCACTCAGGGACTCACTATCGACCTGCAATAAGTGAGAGGTCGAAAGAAGAAGGAAGGTTTTAATAAGATCACGGGAGAATGGTCAGAGGGTTATTATGATCACAGAGGAAGAGGTTCTGCAGCTACACAGCTGGTGCGTTTGGAGGAGCCAAAAGAGAGTGTACAGGCATACACCGAAAGAAAAGCATGAGCAAGGTGTGGTGGTTGTTTCTGTGCAGTGAGGTGCATTGTGGGAGTGTGTTGAGGTGCTGTGGTGTTGCCATGGTGACAAGCTCCGAAGATCAGTCTTGGAAGTAGGAGTAACAGAATGCGAATCAGCCTACTCTACCTCTACTCTAATCCTCACTGCCAGGGCAACGAGACAACGTTTGACCTGCAGTCGGTGCTTGAGAACAACTCCCACCATTTCATGGCAGTGAGGCGCGGGCATGCAAAGGAAGCTGTTTCAAGAAGCAGAAAGCGGCTCAGGGATTTCAAGCATGGGGAAGATGAGGGCAGGATTTAGCTTGGCTTCAGCGATGAGGAGTGAGAATGGTTCGTCAGATGGTGGGAGGATGAGCGGATGAGGCAGTTGGGGGTAAGGGTGAAGAGATTTTGGAAAAGATTTTGATTTTTTTTTCTTTTAAATATGAGTTCTTACTCACCAGACAGCTGCTGGACCCCAGGCTGGTCATGTGTGCTTAACAACTGGCTCTGAATCGTCTCCACTACACGTTTAAAACGCCGGCTGGGTCCTAAACACAGGACAAAAAACGCAAAAGTTAGGAGAAAAGGAGAAACATACAGAAGCAAGTGCATGGTCTGAAATGCAAAAAGGTTGAAATGGAAGAGGAATGCTGCTGCAAGCTCCTGCTGCCTTCCTGTTGTGTACACTATGGTATGTACATGGTCAATGACATGGAAGAACCAGCAGGCTCCAAACAGCCACTGTCACACCCCTTTCAGCTTAAACGTCCCCCCAATTGAATGGGCTTGTGGGTGTGTGTGAGAGAGAGAATAAAAGAAAGCATACACATCTTTCTGCAAGACTACACACACATGAATGATTGCATAGTATGTTATCTTGCATAGCCAGACTTCATCTTTGTTACGCTCAGGGAAGTTTGGGGAAAATCTAATCAAGCATTCAGGCCTGCAAGAACTATGAATACTCCTTAGGCAGTCATTCTTTTTGGCAGCAAGTTTGACAACACCCACCCTTGGGAACAGTACTTCTGGTTTATTTATTGGCTGGATACAAACAAGTGTAATTTTATTAGACTTGAAGCATGGCAGCATCCTACTTGACATTTAAAGATGGCCTTCTCCACACTTTTCACACTGACTTGTGAGCTTGAATTTCCCAAGACCTCTGTAAATCCTGATGAGATGGATGGCTGCTATTCATTGTTACATAACACTGTACTGTATGTAACTGTTCTCTGTGGTCTGTTATCTCACAGTAGAAAGGTTTGAAATGGACTCTTTCTGTTTGGACTGTACATAAGAAAAGGAATCATGTCCCTCAAAGCCAAATTCAAGGCAATCTGCTTTGCTTGAAGTGCAAACACAGTGACTGTTGACTTGTTGTTTTTGGAACTAATGGTCCCTCTACTGCTTTTCATTACTTTCTGTGAACAGTTGCGTGCTCTTCATTTGTGTGTTTCCAAGCACATGTACAGTATGTCACTTCAGACAAAAACTCTACTGTGCATGCAAGACACACAAGCATATTTAAACAAGTAGATGGATAACTTCTTGAGGTGTGCTAGAGAGTCCTGACCTGAGAGCAGAGTGAAGGTGACAGAGTAGATGCCATTCTCCTTGGTAGCGGCTGTGCTCTCCGTGTAGGTGATATCCACCTGAAATTTGACTGGCTTCTGGAAGACTGTGGGGCCAGCTGTGGACTTGTACTCTGCTCGGAAACTGGTCTGAGAGATCACGCTGTGACTCAGGCTGGGGATCTGGAAGGAACAAAGAAAAGGCGTCAGTGCAGGGAAATTGACAAAGAGGCACAGGTAGGAATAAAACCAGGTAGTGAAAAGAGACAAGTAATGGGATTATACATAGGAGCACAGATGTTTAATTTTTCTCCCACACCTTGCAAATGACAAGGTGAATAAACCCCCATTAAAATACCCTCCACACACTACGAGCTACAGTTCTAAGGAGATTAACGCCTTGGGGAGTAGCCATGCATGCCAGGGAGACTTAAGCTAATGTAATCTTGAGTCATCCAACAACATCACACTCTCCCACCTAAAATGAATTTGTATGCCCAATGAACAGGTGAGCTCTAAAATTGTCACAGTGTTGGAGAGGGGCTGACATTCCATTAATATGAGCGCGCTGAAAGGTATAATTCCACTGATTCAGGTGCCAGTCTTCTGTCTGGAATAGCAGCTAACACGACCCAGAGGATAAAATAGCTATCCCCCAGGGATGAGGAAACATATTTGACATTGCCCTGCACTAGCAGAGTTGATATTTATTTTGACTTTTTAAATCTGAGGTGAGGGTAGTTTTTGTTCAATTATGTGCAGTGAATATCAACTACCACCACTGAGTGTTTGTTGTTACAGATTCTGCCATGCTCACTGTGAAACCCTGATGTTGCCTGCATCTGCACATCCACACTATTGTAAACACAACACACCGGAATACAATTTACGGTATTTCTCACTTTCTCGCACTACACATCTAAATATACACACAAACGCAGGCATTCACTCAATACGTGCTATTGAGGTCATAGCATCTATATGCTAATGATCAATGCTCTCTTTGATTTTTTATTGACCTCAAGAAAGTCGCAGTCAGAGAAAACTGAAGCGCTGAACACAAGCAGTTTAGTGAATTGGTACATAAATCAGAAGCATGTTAGTGAGGCTGGCTCACAGCATAGCCAATCACTACTTCTGTTAGAAAAGGAAACACCGTGCACCAGGCGGCAGGTACACAGGTAATACTGCTACAAATATATAGAGAGAAAGGTGTGGGGCACAGAGGACACAGCACATGTGGGAGAGGGGTCATAGGGGCAGAGGAGGAAAGAGAAAGCAAGAGCAGCATGTACCGAGAGAAAGGCTTGAACAATGTCAGCCTTGATGGAGCTGAGAGGCTTGTCTTTGATTACAATGAAGATCTGCTCCTCTTTCTCCAGGTTTATGAAGTTACCAAACCATGATTTTTTGGCAAGCCTGTGAGGAAAGACAAGAAGAGAAACAGATGGTCAGCTGTATGTTTGCATTGTTTACCACTGTAGAGGCTGTTTTCCTTCACCCTGGTATTTTCCTTGTTTTACGCACACATCCATCTATTTATTCATCCAGAAAAATAGAGAGCAGCTGAAGACCTCACTATCTCACTCTCTCTGCAGCTCTGGGGGAAAGGCACAAACGAAGGATAGCCTGAGGGAAATGAGGGAAAACTGTGCAGGGGAAGAAAGTTTTCTGACATCTCATCTTCTGCACAGCTGAGTATATATTATAAATGCATGTATGTGGTGTGAGTGAGGGGAGAGAGAGGGAGAGAGATAATTGAGGTCCCTGTGAACAGAACTATAGGTCCAGAAGGGGCAGAGGTAGATGAATTCACTACAGGCTTCAGACCAGGTATACCTGCACCCACTAATAAGCTATATGGACTCTTATTTTCTGGCATTCTAATAAGATTCTTGAAAATGTTGTTGGATTCGCAATACTCAAACATCAGAAAAAGGAGAAGCACTATAATCCCCCCCTTTAAATATAACTAAACACTTATTTAAACATGAATACAGACTTATATAATATTATAATATCCACTGAGACCTTAAGGGGTGCATTGCTCTGCAGTAAGGAGCTGGTTACAGCTGGTGTGTGACTTGGCATGTCTTTGATACAGGCTAACCCCAGATACTGTAAGAGAAGGTTGTTTCCACTTAGGATTTTCTTACCAGCCAGGTGGGAATGACCACGCCAGACAAACCGGCATATCTAGGCCAACCTTGAGTTATCAGGCCCTTGGGAGCTACATTGTCTCTGTTATAACCAACCCACTACCTCGTGCAATGCTGCTGTTTCTCCAACTCAGACCAGACCCGAGATCATTACAGGGAACTCAGTGGACAAAAACCAAGCATTCATGGAGGTAATACTTTCCAAATCCAAGAGTGAGCCTGTTTGAACTAATGAGGGGCTGACAGGTTATGCATAATTATGATATTAGTGGTGGCTTTTAAAAGCACAGTATCTACTTACTCTGGGGAAGACTCTGGTGTGAGGCTGGACATCTCCTCTTGTGTGGGAACTGCAGAACGCAGAGTCAAAGGTCAGAGGTAAAAGATCAGCAAAAGACAAGTAGATCAGACTAGTGGATGTGGGAAGATTTACAAGACTGCATTATTATTCAATATTTGCCATAAAGATCAACCGTAATGTCACTACCTTGGAGTTTCCTGCGGTGGAAGCGTGGTGATCCCAGGAAGCTGTTCTTGATAGTGTTGAGGCGTGTCCTCCACGGCATGCCTCCGATAGAGGGGCTGGGGGGCGGCGTTGGAGTGGGGGTCCCAGCTGGGCTGTCCTTGGGAGTGTGCACTGGGGTGCCTTTTGGAGTGGGGAGGGGGCTGCCTCGAGGGGAGGGGTGAGGGGTAACCTGTATAAGGGGGATAGATTTAGGTGGGTAATCAGTGAATGAAGAAGGTGCCGGAGCCACAGGGTGAAAGTGGTGCAGCCGGATGGGCAACAGGGGCACTGCTGGGCTGAAAGGCACAGAGAGCTGGGGCTTGGCAGCAAAATGGGAGCGTTTTACCTGGGGACTGTTTGAGACTGGAGCACTGGGGATTGAGGATGGGGAAGTAAGGGGAACAAAGGCAGAAGGTGGCTGTGATGGCAGCTGGCAGGGGGCAGAGGGGCCTGACTGAGGGTTTCAAGGAGCGGGTTGGATCGTGTAGCTTGGAGGGGCTTTGGGACAACTTTGGGCTTGGCGGGGAGTGTCTGTGTCTTGTTGAGTGCCTCTGCCAGGGGCTCAATGTTTGGAGTGAGTGAATTGGGGGTGGAGATACGTGGATCTGAGGAATTATAGATGGGCCCGGGGGATTGAAAGGGCCTGGTATTAGGGGACTGTGACAAGACTGGGGACTGAGGTGGTACACCAAACTTTCTGACGGGCTGGAGTTAGAGAACACAGTGTGAGGATACAACACAGTGAAGAGCCAGAGCAGGTGGAAGAGGGAAGAAAAACGCATGTGGACACATGCACACAAGTACAGTAGAACAAGAGGCAGCCAAAGAAAACAGACAGGTGAGAAGTATACACACAGGAGAGATGGAAACATTAAAAAAAAAAACGAAGACAGGAACAAAAAGAAACATGTAGTTAGACCATTGATTGACTCGTGTTAAAATAAAACAAAAGAAAACTGGAAACAATAACAGCAAGCAATGCAGACAAATTTTAAAAGTTCAAACAAAAAGCATAAAAAAAGATGGGCTTCACTTGAATAAAACATGCAGGTCTAAGCAGACACAGACAGGTGTGAGAGACATGAGGACAATTTGGGCTGTCTCCATAACACGAGGAACATCATTGGTGTATCTGCTCTGAAATTTCCCATTTCCAGATACGTACTGATCTGCTTGATTTGTAATAATACAATTGTATTCACAATGGCGTGCTGATAAAGAATTTCCCTTGTTCACCTCTATTTTTTTTTCAAACACAAATCTGAGAAAATAACTCCACACTGAGCCTCTTGCTGAGAGCGGAATCCAGGCTTTGGATAGGTCTGAGAAATTAATTTCCCTTTCAGATTAGCCTGAAAGAACTTGTGTGGCACGAGGAGCTCGTCTCAGAGATCCCAGCTAATCTCAAGCCTCTCAGGTTAGTCGGTCAGAAAAGTTTATCGCAACCACTCTAGCTCTGAGTAAGAAAAGTGGGGTTCTCTGAAGCATTCCCTGAGCTGGATTTCCACAGAGCTCAGTCCACAGAAAACAAAGAGAGGGATAATGAGCAGAGAGGATAGAGAAATATGAGGCTTTGGATGGAGGAGAAAGTCTGCTGTGCTGTCACGTCCCCCGTGTGTGTTGTACTTGGAGTTAACAGAAAGCTCCAAACTATATGAACACAGTGACAACTCGCGTAAAGCCTGATCGAACACCGGATATGAAGAGCTTATCATAGTTGATCCCTGCTTGCTCAAAACACAAAGGTAGCTCAAAACTTAAGAAGCTGAAAAATATAGTATATCTCAGACTAATAACAAAATGGAACAGGTAGACTAATATTGCATTTGCAGAGAGATACAGTGATATGCTTTCATAGTGTTTGTGCTGTGTTTTGTTAAAGGTCAGAAGCCCCTGTGATGTAGCTGAAGTCTCTTGCTGACATACAGTAAAAAGCAAGAAGATGACAGAAATAAGACAGGATCAGCAGCAGCTGGATGGCTGTTATCCCTGGCAGTGAACAACTACAGCTGCTGAGAGCTGGACCAATAGGTGTGTGTTAGATCTGTGTATGTGTGTGCACCGAGGGTTGCGACTTACCCGTGGGCTATTGAGGGGGCTGGTGGAGAGGCCAGAGGAGGCTCCACTAATAGATCGTGACCTGTGGAAAAAACACGCGAGAACACACACACAGGGGCAGAAGTAATTTGTTGCATCAAAATGTGTACCGCATACATGTTTCAGTAAACACACTTGGAGGTGAGAGCTTGAAGGTCACATGTTGCACATGGTTAGAAAGCGCCTCAGCATATGGTACCGCCATACCAGACACGTGGGCTTCTATGAAGCAAGCACAACACCTTTTCCCACAAAGACGGTGAGAGCACTATGACATAGTAACTGACTTGACAAAACCAATTTCAAGCATTGACTCCCCGTAATTAGTCTCAACCCAATTAAAATCACATTTTGGTCCTAGATCCTGTTGTTGTGGCCACAACTTTTCATGCAAATTGCTAGGGTGCTTTGCACAAATCAGGATTCAAATGAGCTTTATGCCCTGTCTGCTAATAACCCAAATATGCTGACTTTTAAGGCCTTTGCACTGGATCAGTAAAAAAATATCTTGAGGGGGGAATGAAGTGGGACATTTGGTTGAGTGCCATGTGTTGTGTTATTTTCCCCTGCAGATGTCATCAATAACCCCTATGAGCAGAACCCTGCTCAGAAATGAACAATCACAGGACAATCTGTCTTCATCAAGTGTGCGCACACACGTACAAGTACGCACACACACACACACACACACACACACACACACACACACAGTGCCTGTCAACACTCGGAAACACCAGCTGCTCACTGTCACAACACTGTTCCTGTTTGTCATTCAATCTAATACCTCCTTCCTTCGTTCCCTTTGTTTGTCACTCCATTTCAGAGTTCATGCATGTGAACATGTAGCCAAGCCAACAGATCATGTTACTCCTTAAAGAGATGAAGAGATAATGATTACAACTAGTGCTTTTTTTACTTGTTTGATCGAAGGGGTAGACCTCACTGACATATATGAGGGGAGAATGAGGGACAGATGGAAGAATGAGGGTGTAGATGGAGTATTCATGGAGCATCCATGTCCATGACTGATGCTCACTCATCAGCCTCCATTGAGCATTTAATTTAGAACCACCTAAAGAAAGAACTGATTCTATTGCTCAAATCCTACTTCTGAGAGGCATAGACACACAAATAGAACAGAACCAAAGCAGCACTAACCGCTACCATGAGAGAGAGGAAAATATAGAAACACCCACTCTCACGCTATTTTTGTAATTCTCCCACTGCCCCTTCTGTGAGTGTATTTATTGCACAAACTCATGTACACATGAGTAGGCAATACTGAGAACATGTTGGCTAAGAGAGCAACTGACCAGAGAGCTGCTGCCGTTTATATTTAAGTCCTACGATCTACTGAGACATATCTTCAGTTGCTCAGTGCAGCGCCTGTGTGCACATAGCCAAATGCACTTCATCTAAACATGGCCAAAACACAGCATCACCAAGCCATTCTGACATACTGTTAGAGGCGTACTGCATCTGCTAGTGTCGGGCCGACAGGTCTATAAAGCTAATGTTACAGATGGTTATGCTGTACAGTAATTGGCTGTCAGAGGCTCACTCTTCTCTCAGTAAGGTGATGAATTACTGTTGAGAAATGTTTTATTTATGGCGAAAAGCATTCGCAACAAACTAATCATTTATCATCTATCCTAAACAAACCAAGAAGCAAAATGTTATTAAATCACTAGGCGATGAGATGCTGAAGCCAGCATCTGTGCTTGTGCTTGCTTGGTTTAAAAGGTTAAAAAAAAACAAAAAAACAAAGTCTGCAGTATCTAGTCATGTAGAACATCTTGGTTTTCTTTGTCCTCATTTTGAGTTTTCCATCTTTGGTTTCTGCCTCTATCCCCAGAACAACTGAGGTGAGTGGGATTTAATTTGTGCTGTTACAATGTCCTGGTTACTCTAAATAAAACACAAAATACACAGTTGTTATCGGGGTTGCTTCTTTGGTACAAAGCACTGTTGGGAGTGTAGTCTGTACACACCATTGGGGAATATAACTAAGTAGGTTTACTTAAGTCCGGTACTTATACAGTACTTTAATGTAAATTAAATATAAATGTTACTTTATACTTCTATTCCACTACACTACACAAAAATACTGCACATTTTACTGTGCTGTATTAATTTGAGAAGTGTATTTACTTGTTACTTTTCTGATCTTACATTCTAAACCTGTGACTAAGTACATTATGCTATTAACACTTGACCCTTTAGTACTTGCTCCTACAGTCATGGTACCCCTGCATTTCTGCTGGATTATGCGCCAGAAAATTGTTGCAATTATAAATTCTTAGGTATTCTCAAGTTTATTCCTTTTGTTTGCATTGGAACAACACAAAGAAGCAGAAAAAAAAGCCAAATCTGATACATTACACACAAAACTCCAAAGATAGACAGGACAGAATTACTGACATCTTTCCAAAATCATTAGAAATAGTTGGATTTCAAGCATGTGATGCTCCTTTAATTTGGAATGAAACTCACCTGTAGCAACCAACAGGTGCTGGCAATATAGAAATGACACTTGCATCTAGTTGAAATGGAAATGGATTTTTTTTGTGTTTCCCATAAGGCCATTTTGGAACAGGCCCCATGCTCTCAGTGTCTGACCAGCGGTCGTGTCAGAGCATCCAAAGCACCAATGGGGTCTAATGATGGACTGTGGGAAATGGAACAAGTTCAAGAGATTCTGGGATGAAAGCATCGACTGACATAAAACGAAAATGAAGCAAAATGGTGCTAGGAGTGAAATGACAATCGAAAAACACTGTCAGATCAAAACACAATGCTGCTGCTATGCTAGCCTGATTTAAGGCAAGTGAAGAGTTCTTCTCTCCCCTTTCTCCCTTTTCTACTGTAGATTGACTTGGTGCTGCCAATAGAAGTACACAATGTGGAGTAACTTTATTAATGTAAATCAACACACTGTTTAAATTCATGTCTTTTCCTGAGCACTGACAATTCCCCGAGGAGTCACTGCATTAATATTCACAGCTCAGCTGCTCAAAGCTCTAAATGTAGTTAGAGCCCTGTAGTTTGTGCTGCTGTAGAGATCAGTGTTAAAAGTACTTTATTTGTGCTCATTTAAGCTTCTTAAATAAATCAGTCAATAATTAGCATGAGACCCTGACTTATTAAGACTGCTCTCCATCCATTACACTCAGGCTGCATGAAGCAACTAGAGCTGATCTGTACAGAAAAAAAATATGAATTGATATTCTCTTCTTCACACTGCAGCACTTCTCCATATTTCATTTACATATCATTAACCTCCCTTCATTTCTCCTGGCATGTTAAGATTTTAAATTAAATCAGTTGGATTTCTTGTGCTTTGAATTTAGCTTTAAATATCTTTTAAAGACAATTTTGGGTATATAAAGAATGAAATGTAACATGGCTATTGCAGGACTGGTCCCACAAATATTCGATTATACTTCACAGGAGCAGTCAAATCACCAGCCAAATGTATGAAAATGCAGCCTGGGCAGCTGCTTGGATTGTAGCTGCTTACCAAAGATATGTGAGGCAAAATGCTGGATAAGAACTGAGGCTCAGGCATTTTTGTTGTGTAATTTTAGATAAAACCACTTCCCCTCTCTTTTTCACCATTTACACTGGTGGAAATCTGTCAAAACATGTTTCAAAGTCATTCATCTCTCTGACATCCTCTGGTTTGAAGTTCTATGAATCTTCTGTGCTGTTGACAACAGTTTGCTGTAGGGGAAAGGTTAGACTCAGGGAAAATCAGGCACATCTTTGGACGGGTGTGTGTGTGTGTGTGCACATGTATTGAGGTGCACAGGGGTATCGTTATACAAAGCTATCACTGCTGCCACTGTAACACACGCGCACACACACACACACACACAAACACACACGCGCACGCGCGCGCATGCTGTGACCACACTGAGCATACACATGGATGCATTTAAAGGCAGAAAAGCTCAAAAACACAACAAAACCCAACATCCTTTTCCATCCCACTGATCAGCTGGAGAGCTAAGAATTGCCATAGGTGGAAATGAGCCATATAGCGAGAGAGATTCGATATGATTTGGAGGCAGAGGTATGAAACTGCGGTGTAAAAGTCCCCCCCCAGCTCCAACCCCCCACATCTGATAGGAAGCCAGACAACTAGCAGCATCTCTACATTAGCATAGCAATTCTGTACTAGGTGAGGGGGCGTTTAGGACTGAAGTTCAGAAGCACACAAGAGACCACATGAAAGAGAGAGGCAATATGAAAAGGTATAAGGGGGACCCCGTGAGAAATTCGGGTGGATGGGTGAGGAAAAACACAGTGAATCAAAGTAGCAGAGGAAGTACGCAGGGGGAGCTTTTTGTAATGACTGAGGCTGCTGATATATGTAGGATTGTATATGCTGCTAGCTAAAAGTGTCCTGTTTAAATAGGTTCAACACATTAATTTCACTGCCCTTTATGATGAATGCCATTTACTTATGCATTATACAAGAACTGGTGTCAGGAAGTTATTATTATTGCTCGATAAAATCATTGCAATCTGGTCTATTTTGGAATTCAAGACTCACCTGAAACATGAGTTGGAGTGAAGGGCAAAAGAAGGCAGCTTCTAAACTAATGCAACCTTTAACTAAAGAATAAGACTCAGATTGCCTGAAGGGATGAAGGAGCAGAGTGGAGGTGATGAAAGACAAAAAGATTCATCTTAAACTGAAATTCAGAAGCACCAGAGGACAAAAAAAATTAAGCAGAAGTAATTAAGGGTGGGAACTTGTGCAGTGGTTCCCAACAGTGATGTCAAGGGGAAATAAAATTCTTGATATTTTGTTGTTGCCAAACTGCTGAGTGAGAAGTTATTAATGCATCTGACATTTATTCAACCATATAACTACATTTTCTTGTATTGATATAATATATGCTGCCTCTGCATTTATGCCCTATAGCTCTGAAAGCTTTCCCCAGCACTCTTCCAATCTGCCATCTGTCATTAGGCAGATCAGGTTATCACCCCCTCAGATTCAATCTTCCCTACTGTCACAAATGCCACTGCCTCTGCGCAGAAATGTATGGTGTGATGATATACTGGTTGTTGAAATAAGATGAGGAAACAGATTTTAAATCAGTCCGCTGTGCCTTGTGGGGGAGTGGCTCTGGTTTGACTTGAACATTTCTAAAATAGAGAAATGAAGAAATGTTCTGCATCTGGAGAAAGTGGGGCACATTATGGGAGGAACTGATTATCAATGCATTCAGATTATAAAAAGAAGAGATAACTGAGCTGGAATGCTGGAATGGGGCTTGTAGATATAAAGAATGAATTGCAAATGCATAGTCTTCCTCAGTTTGAAAATTAGGTTAAGTAAGAGAGTTATGGGAAACTTTTAGAACTGCCATCCAAAAACTGCTCTGTTGAACCCAGCACTTTTATTTTTTTAGATGAGCTATGAAAATAGGCCTGTGAAGCTCCCAAATGCTGCATATGTCATCATGATTTAAAACAAAGCATCCTGTCTACAGAAAGCTGTTCTGCATCTTTCTCCTTCCACAGACGTCTACTTGCAAGGGGGTCAAACACAGAGCAAGAGGAGGTGAAAGCAGGAGGAGGGAGAGTGACAGGCAAGTGAATACCTTTCTTCTTTGCTGCATTTTCTACCGGCATCAGGAATATCCAAGCTTTTACTGTATACTGATTTACTACAGTGAGACAGGAGACAAAGGGAGCAGAGAATCAGTCTCTGTTTATGCTGGTCCACAATGTAGCCTGTACCAGAGCCAGACTGGCTCTGTCAGACCTGCTGAAACACCACCGAGCTGCGAGATTCTCCATCCGTACACAAACATGTTTGAAAAATTTCCGAACCTTTTCTGTTCACCTCCTTGCATACCTTTGTCCGTGTTGTGTCATGTCGATTGCCCTCCTGGCCGGTACAGGTGAGCCACCATCTGTGACACTGAGGACCTCCATGGACTTCCTCTCTGGTCTCCTCTTGCCGTGGTGGTTCAACATGGGAGAGTCCACCCGCTTCCTTGGAGGATCTGAACAAAACATTGAGAAAGAGAGACTGATTCAGAGTAAACACAACCCACCTGACAGGTATTTCTGTATTAAGCAGTTTTTGTGCATTACATACATACACGCAAGTGTCTGAGTGATGTTTAGCTCTGATCTCACTGACATTTTAACTAATAGTGAATAAGTAGTGGTTTCCTCCCAGACCTTGAACTAATGGCCACTGCATTGACTGTATCACATTCACTGAAGAGGGAGTCTATTCATCAAAATGTCTGAATCTCACAGCGCACTCACACACACTTGCACATAATACTCCTATTGGAGTGATCTTGTCAGAAAATCACCCTGGCACAAGTCTAAGAAGAATAGCTCTGTCTCTGCTTCGATTGCTGTGGGTGGAAATCTGTGCTGTAGCAATGGGATAATGTGTTTTTTGATGATTCAATATCTGAAGTGAAGCAGTGGCAACTGACAGACTGCCCCCCCCCCAAAAAAAAGAATAAGTCTATGGCCTACTGACACCTCCTATTTCAGCTACTATATTTCATTGAGCAGCTCGTCTATTTTCAATCAACAGAAAGCTTTTTCTGCTGGAAGGCCAATCCACTACTGCTGCAGCTGATCCAGTTTCATCTGAGGCAGGAAAACACAGGCAGAATGGTTCAGATTCTATGAGCAATGGTGGAAGGTAACTAAGTACATGTACTCAAGTACTTAACTACAGATGTGAGGTATCTGTACTTTACATGAGTATTTTCATTTTATGCTACTTCATACATTGTGTTCACCATATTTTAGAGGTAAATATTGTACTTTTTACTCCACTACATTTATTTGATAACTTTAGTTACTAATTACATTTCAGAATCAGATTTAACTATACAAAATACAGTATAATCACAAGACTTTATTGATCTCTGGAGGGAAATTCACAAAATGCTGAGTAGTACTTCAAATTATATGCATATAAGGTAATATAAAATAAGCTCCATGTTTACCAGGTACAGCTTTTAAATGTGATGTACACAACCTATCAATAATTATAATCCAATAATATATAAGTGTGCTATTCTGCATAATGACTACTTTTACTATTGGTACTTTAAGTACTGCACTTTTCCTTAACATTTTGAACGCAGGACTTCTACTTGAGCACTTCTTCCACTGTTGACATTCATCTTATTCTTGTCTAAACCCCTGTTTTATCTGTGTAAAAAGCTGTCGATTCAGTGATTAGATGAAAAGCTATTTAAAGTAAGGAGTCACATACAGTAGTGCTGTTCAGACAGTGCATGGCATACTGCAATTACTGATGTATTCCTTTAGCTCTTTAGTTGTTATTCTATGATATTTTATATACTTACATGTCAGGTTACATTCTTCATCTATGCTTAAATTTTTATATTATTTGATCCTCACCAATCTCATTGCGTGGGGGAAGGTTCTGGTCCTCCTGACTGGGGTACCTCTCTTTACGGTCGAGTAACAGGAAGTAGATCATCTTTTCTTGGTTGTCACTAGAAAGATGAGACAACAAAACAGTTGAGACATTTGGAAAAGTGCTTTTAATCAGACTGTTAGGGTTGTGTACAAAAAAAAACAAACATTTATACACATCAGCGCACAAGCACGAACATTAAACTGCAAAAACCCTCACTATGATTAATGCCCTTTAATCTTTTCGGGTTCATCATGAATCAGCTACTAAATAGCTCCTATCATTAACACAAAATTTGAGTTTTACAGCTCATTAAGCTTTCATATAACATTCTGCATACATTTTTAAAGACATGCCCTATTTTTATATGTAGTCTCTCTGCAGTTAATTTTAGGAAAGTATCAACACATTATGAGTAGGTCCTTTTCTTTCCCAGTAATTCAGGAAGTCTAATATCTTTGGTCTTTAGGCCAGTGCTCACTATGCAAGGCCCAGGGATTGGCCCTGCGTAAAAGACAAATTGGAAAGCAGTAGGAGGCAAAGAAACATGGACCTGCAACTTCAGCTAAAATGAACCAGGGGAGGGGAGATAGAGACCGCAGATTTTCCTCCAGTCCAGCACTATTACAGGATGCTCCCAGGAGAAAGGATGCAAGCGGAAGAGTGGGTAGAGATTAAACTGAAGGGCCCAAGAAAAAAGTAGAGACTGCAGGGCAAGTATCCTCAGTATTAAATGCATATTCACATGTAACTCAGACACAAATATTAGCTGAACATAAAGAATGTGACCCAGGAGCTTGTTTGTGGTGCAAGGTAGGATTAGTTTGAGGGGATGTATCCAGAAGCCAGAAGTATAAGCACCACGTGATAACGTTTAAGGTCCTGACATCTAAAGTGACAGCCTCACAGGATTTCATAAGAGGTGGGGAAAAACCAAGGAAGTCTGAACACCTCACACACCCATTTCAGTCCACTGTTTCCCTTCATTGTAACCACAGCACAGCCCTGTCCTCTTCTTGTTTCAACTGCTTTTAATCTTTTCCTATTTCAAGATGCACTGTTTCGCTTTTTCTGTCCTTATTAACCTCTCTTCACATTCTTTTTATGCAGTTTCCTCTTCATTCAACCTCATTATCCCTCCCTTTTGCCCCTCCATTCACTTACTCATCTGAAAGCAGGTCTTTCAGTAGTTTGTTTTTGTCTCTGAAGCAGCCCAGGGAGTGCATGCTGTCCAGTACGTCTGGGTCAATATCATCTGCGGAGGGGAGGCTGCGGATGGTCACCTTCCTGGGCACAGGCTGCTCCGGCTCTGGTTCATTCTTTCCCCCTCTGGGAATGCCAAGAAAATACAACACAAGTAAGCACACGTAGACCGCTTCGTCAAAACTACTTAAAAAAAAAAAAGGCCAAAGTACATAAACCCCATTATCCAGTTTATTACAGATCTCTATTTGTGAATGTATAGATCTAATGAATCTGTATTAAAGAGAACATACAGTTCTTCAGTGCTTGTTTGCTGCTTGGTCATCTTGGGCAAAATATTCACCTCATTATGAAGTGTTCATAGTCATGTATTTCCCCCAGGTTTAGTCACTCTGCTGCAAGCTTCAGAGGGTAAACAGGGGTCATCATATTCAACAAGATGCAGACCAAAGATTAGATGGCTGCACGTTTCATTTTTTGCACACCACTGATGGGTTGCTTCTGGGGAAATGGCTGCAACCACATTTGTCAGACAAAACCAGCCTTATGCTGGTTTACTGTTTACTTGACCCTCTGGCATGGGGATATGTACATACACATTGAGAGCGGATGTACCAGAGTCAAATTCCTTGTGTGTCCAACACACCTGGCCAATAAAGCAGATTCTGATTCTGAAAAATCCTCCTCTCATTCATCCATCCATCCATCCAGTCATTTGGCTTGTCATATTGCCATTCAGAGACATAAAAGCCAGGGAACGTCCTTGATGACAAAACTTAAATTGCAGTATTCTTCCAACTCTTCATATCTGGTCTGCTCTTATTTCTTTTATGAGTCTCACTGTCTCTTTGCATAATCTTTCAGTACATGACAGAAACCATACTGTAACTCAGCCCTCTCCAGGACTCACAACCTCCACCCATGATTCTTCTTTGCTCTTGCCAGGAAAGAACCTTTAAAATCTTTAAATTACATTTTCAGCAAGATCAGTACAATGCCAAAATGGTTGATAATCCGATTCTTAGAGGGAGGATTTCAGCTTTTACAAACTAAAAATCACTTAATGTACATTACATTTTAAAAATAAATCTCATAAATATACAGTGATCTCTACCACAAAGTTTCTGAAAAGATTTATGTTAGAATTAAAAGGTGGGTGCACTCTGTTGTAAAGGTTTAATGGTGGGAACACTAAGGTTGGGTACCATAAGCTCGTCCTCCACCGTCTGTTTGTCCCCTGTTCACTTGACCATATGGTTAAGTTGCATGTCCTCGTTCATGCACTACCAATTTACCCCTACATCCCTGAGAGTGAAGTCATGCCCCGCTCTAATGTACACTCAGGGCTGAAGCCAAGTCGTTTATCATGTGGTTGCTCCCCTTAGGTGTACAATCCATGCAGAACAGGGTAAGAGGAGGAGGAGAGAAGGGTGTGAAAACAAGGAAAAGACAGCAGTACTTACATGTACCATGTGTGCTTCTGGATCTGTTCTAACTATAAAAGACAAAAAAAAGAAATAGCAGGTCAGTCCACAAGCACTACTGTATATTTGATTTGAGTCATCTTTTTAGTTTTAAGCAAGGCATTAAAAACAACTGAATCACTGAGTAAAAAGTTGAACACAGAGCACCGCATTTTTGCCAGTGTATAGAGATGTCTGGTGCAGTATAGCTTTAGTAAGCCTTACAGGCTTAAAGGAAACAACAGGATAGAGCCAGATTGAAAGTAAAAAATGAGGTCTTCAAATATTAATACTGCCAATGGGAAAAACTTATTGGAAAAAAGAACGAGGCAAAGAGAGGTGCTGCAAGAAAAGAGAAAGAGGTGATACCGTTGAGCTATAAACAGAGAGCATTATCTCCCTCACACACACTGTTGACCCTGCCAAGCACTCCGGTCTAAAGGGGTTCTCCCATTCTCATTCTTTCCCATCTCTTTTACTCACAAAAACACACCCTCATGCTCTCCGAATACTATTCTTGTCACAGCACTTTCAGTGTGTCAAAATGCATCCACTTTGTCACCAACACTGTCAATATGGTCGCTTTGCCAAGAAAGAAAAAGCAGAAAGAGAAAGGAACACTGCAGAAAAGGGCAACAAAGGAAGACATACTGTATGTTAGAATGACTCCATGGTGGTTCAACTAGCCACAGAGGAAAACTGGATCAATGTCACTGCTGGTGCATTTAATTTGCTCTTGCCGCAGGAGAGATGCATAGCAGCTCTAATTATAGTCACTAATTCAGATGCATTCAGATGTTCTTAGATACTTGTCTCCAGCAATGTCTTGATGTGTTCACCATCCCAGATCTGCTGCTGTACCTCTGCGCTTTATCACCGGTGAAGGCCTTCATGTGATGTGCAATCACAGAGCCAGGCAGACTGTAGGTGACTCCTGCTGTTTCCACAGAGGTCATGGTATTGACAGAGACACCCCGCCTGTCAGATACAGGCCAGCGGGTGACCTACTCTCTCCCACTTTTATTGAAAGCCCGGAGCCAAGAGACCGTTATCACACATAGGCTTGACAGTGATGTGGTTTGAAATGCAGTATCACATCAGTCACTAAAAGTGACAGTACCAATTCCAGTTGCCTTCACTCAGGCAGAGGGGAATGCTGCTCTAACACTGGCTTGGCTAGGTGTGCATACTCAGGTATGTATTTATTTGGGCGCTCTATGAACTAATTCTCCAGCAAGCTCACACTGATACAAATGTGTGCAGGTCTGCGCATGTGTATGAACGCCTCTTAGTCATATTGTTATTGCTGTTTAATCAGGCCAGGAGGGACATCTCGGTGGGTGAACACTATTCTGCCCTATAAAACAAAAATGCTGCACATATTTTTGTAAGTCAAAACCAAAATGTGACATTCTAACATGGTTTTAAAATATCTAAAAAAAAAAAAAAAAAAAAGAGATGTGTAATTTGCATATGACAAAAAGGTAAAAACCATATGGATAATTGGTTAGGTAGCATTATCTAAAGCTAATTTACTGGAGATACATTGTTCTGTAATTTAAAAAATACCTTTTGGTGCTATTGCATCTTAGTAATTGAGTTTGTTATACCACAAAAAATAAGGCAGCTTGGAAGAAATAGTAACACAAGATAAACTGGTCCTGCTACAGCATATCTAGCCTAGCTTAGCAGAGTCATATCGGCAGCCCCTTGTGGAATTGAAATAATATGAAATTGATAGGTTTGTTTAAATTACAAGTTTACAGTAAATTATATTAAAGACAGATTTACCAAGCTAGCTCAAAAAAGGACAAGAAGAAAGTTGAGGAAGAAACAAGAACATATTTGTATCTGTGCACTTTTGATTGTCCAGTGCATGTGCATTATCAAGAGTGTGACTGGGTCATAATGGCGGGAAAAAAAAGTGATTTCTGTATTTGTCGAAAAAAATTTTTTTATTTGATGCTAATGGAAACGTACAAAAATTCACAGGCTTCCTTTATTTTCATTCCAGTAACCTTGGTACTTCATCTGCATGGTCCTCATAAGGGTATTATCTGTCTGTGATGAACTGCTCTATAATATAATAAGCAAGCCAATTCTCTTCATTAGCCAGGGATAACGAGGAGGCAGATCATTCCAGGGTGTCTGTGTTCATTTGAATAGCGAAGATGACATGATCGCAGTGAGGTTATCCCAGATGCCTCTGGGGCCTTGACTATGCAGACAGGAAATGAAGAGAAAGGCTTTTACTGGGCTAAGCCCCTAAGCCTGGATACAGTATGTGCCCTCCCACTCAGACTTTGAGGGAGCCTTGGCTTTGTGTGTGTGCTTCTACTAGCAGAAATTTAATTAGCACAAGGTAACAACAGACATACTGAAACAAAGCCAGGAGTTGTGGTTTGATTACCCTATTGATTTAATTCAACAAACTACTAAACATAATTATGGAAAAATGATCCCTCGCAAAAAAAAAAAAAGTCCCCTTATGACGTTGTTCTCATCCTCGAGTGTACATAGCTTCGTCTGTGACTGGCTGGTCACCACTAACCTCCAGGAACGCTCAATCTAAGAGGGCTATTTGACAATCGGTGAGGTTACAACACAATCCCAGAGCTCTGTTTAGAGCCCTCATGCACGAAAGGGGCATGGACAGGTAGCATATTCTCACCCAGCAGCTCTGTCTGTGTGTTAATACTTAGTTGAGAACAGCCCTGTAGGCTAACAAATATTTCTAGGGGAGTTCAGGGTGACCCGTCCTCATCAGGCAGAGAGAACAGAAAAATAAAGCACACATGTATAGTGTACACACACCATCCCAAAGAGGCCTTTCATGTTTCAACACTGCTGCTTATCTGAAGGGCTCCACCTAAGGGTTGTCAGCTCACTGGCAAATGAGCCTCTCTTTCTTTGTAGCTTTCAGAACTATTTGTACTGCTGTCTTATACATTTCTGTTAGTTCAAATTATTCTGACTTCATGAAAGATAAGCTGAGACGTGGGGAAACGAAGCAGCAGCATCAACTTAAAGGTGGTATCGCCACATTTGCTTAGGCAAGTGTGTGCACACAGTTTTGTTTATTACCTTGATTCACAAAGATACCTGGCAAGACTGGACAGGGTGTGCACATACAGTATGCAAGTGAAAATGCAGGGTTTTATTTTGTGTGTGCAGGCATGACTGTACAGTATATTGTTGTCTGAATGTGAAATACAGGACAAGAACAAAGGGCAGCGCTATCTCTCTGTGAAGTGTGTACTTTTGAGATCTCTTGCCACTTCCATTATTTACATTTTAGCCTTAGTCCGTCTCTTGCTTTTTAAATTCCGACTCGCCCTTCATATCTCTCTGTTTCTCCGACTCTCCTCCGGCCAACTCGCCAAGATGATCAGTTGTGTACAGAAAAAAAACAGCATTGTGATGGGTACACTAAATGGTGCAGAGGGAGAGTGCACAAACAGCAGTCCTCTACTGAATTCACACCCTGTACTTGAGAAAGAACTTAGAATTGGTGATGAGGGAAATGCATTTTGGAACACAAGGGAGGAAAGAAAAAACAAAAAGACAATGGTTGGCTTGGCAGCACAGAGTTGATATTAGCCACTTAATTTCAAACTGGAACATTGCAAGTTTTCCATAAATGCTGCCCTAAATAACATCTAAATGTGTTTTGCTGCTTCTACAACTTCAATAGTAAACATGGCTGGTTGTGGACAATGATTATGAAATATTCATTACATCCCTGAGAAATGCACATAACAAGGTACAGAAAAGTAATGTGTAGCTTAAAACACATGGATACTGCTGAAAAGTACAACCATGCACTGCAGAAGCACCATGGGCATTAGTACTGCATATGTATACCTACCTCCTCTTTAGTGCTGTAGCAGTCTCCCTTTGTTTGGGAAGCCTTTCCACAATTAAGACTTGGGAACCTGGCTATGTGGTTTTGTTTTCTAGTCAGCCTCGTCAAGCTCTTCAAAATCAAACTCAGAAAATATTCCATTTTGGGCTTTACCAGAAAGCTATTATCTAAAATATTGTGCTTGAAGATTTCCCTCAAACTGAGAGGCTGAGCTCAAACCGTGAAAAGCAATGCAAGACCAAAGGCACACAGAAGCATATGAACATTATCATAATTTTGTGTCATTATCCAGTTTTAACTGGACTGACCGTTAGTCTTTTGGTGGCATCCACTTCGATCATGCCACGGAGAAGATTCTGACAGTCTGGAGGGATGAAATGTGGCATGTGAAACACTCCCAACTTCACCTTCTCCAGCAGATTCCTCAGGTTGTCGTCATCAAATGGCAGTGCTCCCTGAATAGAGACAGAAGCAGAGGCTGAGAAAAGGAGAAAAGAATTTGGAAATGGTAAAGGTGGAAGAACAGTCTGCACTTTGAATGACAGTATCAGAATAGAAAATAAGACTTCACCCAAACAAGGGCTGAAAAGAAAAATATGAAATACTAACGAGGCTTAGCAGAAGAAACAAAACCACAATTTGAGTCCTAATCTCGCTTGACTTAAAAACAGACTTGCTTTTTCAACTTGTTGAACTCTATAATTAGAGCATTTTGCCCTCAGCTGCAATGCAAAATAAATAATAAACAGCAGTGAGCTGAAAATGGGCTTTTTCTAATAATTACCCAGCTTTCTCATTTATGACTTTCATTTAGCATTCCCTCATCAGTCATTTTTGGAGCAAACTGATATCTCACAGATGTGGCTGTTTGATGAATGACAACCTCCACCAGAAGACAAGATGGAGGAGAGGAAGAGGAAAAGAGTGAGAGAGACAAAAAGAAAGGCTGAAAATGGAGAGATGGAGGGGGGGGGAGCTCGTGTAACAGATGATCTGAGTGCAGCCTAACTGCAGGGGAGTATGCGTGTCTCCCAAAATCAGACAAATGGTTATCTTGCAGCCAGGCAACAGGAAAAAACAGAAAGAAAGACAGTGTTCATCTGCAGTAAAAGAGCAACAATGGAAAAACTTTTGTTTGGAGGAGAGAAAAGTGCAGTCACGATGGAGGCAGTGATTTTAAAAAACCCAGCAGGTTTACACAACACAAGAGAATGAGGGAGACTGTCCTTAACACAAGTGCCCACACACACGAGACAGAAAGGGATGGAGTGAGGGAGAAAGAGGCAAAAACAAAGACAAGTACCCAGGGCCTGTGGCCAAATGCTGCCCTGTCAGCATTGCTATTTATTTGGGGCTCTCTTCTTTCAGTCTGGCTTTATGAGTAATTCATGGGGCAGGAGTGTGTAGCAACTAAAGTACAGCTGTTGATGAAACAAAGCTTCAGGGCTTCATGACTGGGGAACCACAGATATAATGCTGCTGGAGAATGGAGCCGATTATGGATACAGCATTGTCGGAAAATGAATAAAAAGATGTTTCTGTTTTCTGATCTTGTTGTGTAAGACACCCTTGAGGGCTGTCTATGCAACTATTTCCCGGTAAGACCTTCTAAATGTGAGGATTTTGGATTTAACTCCCTGAACTCTGAGTTTATGTTTGTTTATGAACTCCCTGAACTCTGAGTTTATGTTTGAGGCTCCGTGGCAGCTTCAAGCTCCCAGGCTCATTCCACTAGGGCCAAGTTTGAGTTAACAGGCAGAGTGCAAAGTCATGACTGTCATTTAACAAGACTCACTTTCTACTTTTGATCCATTATAGCTGGTACAAAGGTTAGACAAACTACTGGCGACAAAGCGAAGAAACAATTTATCATAAAATTGTAATATGCCACATTTCTCTGGAGAATTTTAAACGGTATGCCAGTCCAGTCACCATCGGTTAGTAAAGAACAATGTGACACTCACCACCAGCAGGGCAAAAAGAATGACGCCACAGCTCCAGACGTCTGCTTTCCTCCCGTCATACTTCTCTCCCTGATGACACAAAGAGTTTCTTAGCAGGTTTGGACAGTGTCAGGGTTGGTTAAAATATGATGGAGGACTACAAAAGCAATTTAGTAGAGAAGAAACAATATAATAACTTACCCTGATGACCTCTGGACAGGCGTAGTGTGGAGATCTGTTAAAAAAAAACAATGCAAGCAGTGAATAAATTAATTACAGTAAGAGAAAGGGGAAAAAAAGCCTTTGATTATTTAATGATTTTTCCCATATCTACTGCTGCACTGCAAAGTATCCAGGGTTATACAATCACAACTCAGGAAACACTGAACAGTCTGCTGAATTAAGATGTGAAAAGAACAACTCAGGCAGACAATAAATGTCTTCAGTGAACAGACCAAGATGCGCTTCGGGAGTTTAGACATCCTGACGGTGTCTGGATGTCCTCCTGCTTGCTCACTCAAGGACATCCTCTTACAGCGGATTGTGAACAGACCCACTAATCTTTAGAACACCTGGATGGGCTGACAGTAAACCCAATGATAGATTGACACATCAATATAGTATGAAGATTTATGAAGCCACCCGGCAATGGCTGCTCCTTAAGCAAGTGGCTATGGATGAGGGGCAGGGCTTTTGCATATACACAGTGGTGCTTTGCCTGTAGTTTGACAGTTTTTCAATTTCCTTTCCATCCATTACCTATATTGCTTACATCACCAGAAAGGGGTGGGTGGGGGTATTTGGGGATAAGATTATCAAAGGGCTGACACATACTGCAGGTCCTTTCCACTGTAGGAACTTATGAACCGGTTCTCTCTGCTTGCTTCCATGATGAGTTCTCCAAGCTAAATTTCTGCACCCCTCAGGAGGTGGTACTAAATCTAGTCCCATGTACTTAAGGAGGAGGGCGAGCGTGCTTGCAGGACTGTTGCATGTGACTGGTCAAACATCAGCGTCATCTCAAGTACATTACAGTCACGATGTGTGAAGATGCAGTCATTCTGGTTCACAGGTAAAACTTCACATATAGGCTCATTGGTTTAGAGGTAAAACAGGAACATCAGTCAGATGACTGCTGGCAAGCAGTAAAGACATCACATTTCTGCACATTTGCTCATACAGCTTCCATTACTGGCAGATTTTGTTGCATTTGCGTGAACAGTGATGGACACAGGGAAAATGCAGTGTAAAATCAAAGCGGAACGGATCATATCAGCCCTTCAAGTTCCGCAGAATTACAGGTATTGGAAGGTTGAGGCTTGTTAAGCTCCTGTGATGGAAAAATACTAATAGAGACAGACAACCACTCACAATCATATTCACATGTGCAGGCAATTTAGAGTCACCAATTAACCTAACCTGTGTGTCTTTGGACTGTGGGAGGAAGCTGGAGTACTCGGAGAAAACCCACACAGATAAGGGGAGAACATGTCAACTTCAAACAGAAAAACCCCAGCCGGTAGGTTTGAACCCAGAACCTTCTTCTGAGAGATGACAGAGCTTTTAATTTCAGGATGCTGCTTTGTCTCTCTTGTGGCAACATACAGAAAGCAAATCTGATATCGGTATACCCCCACCCATACTTCACATAGTCCATCCACCTCCTGCCCCCTCTCAGTCTTATCTAATAGTAGGATATCTGGCTCTAATGAGAGTCTATCTGAGGGCTGTAAACATGGTGCCCATTAGCTCGGCTGTTGTCCTGTGTACTCATGAATACCAGCTCTGACAGCCCAGCTTCCTCAGGCTGTCAAAAGACCGGCTGATAACAAACACTGCCACCATGTCAATGAGGAAAGTTCAAATGTGAGCCTATGCAAATATGGCCTTCCTGATTGCAAGTGTCACAATGTATTATACAGATGAGCCAGAAATAAAAATTAAAAACAAGCCTGAGATTTGCTGTAGTTATGCCTCATGAGTGTCACGACAAATGAGCCACAGTGGGCTGAGCATGAATATAAACTCATTATTTGCAAAGGCTTTTGATGGGAAACATAGGGTGAAGGTAAAGCCTGGAATATAATTACATCAACTTTGTCTGATCTGAAAATAATTTGCCAATATTAGAACATAAAAAAAAAAACACCAGTCAGCCATATCACCTAAAGTATATTCTAAGATCTCCTCTTATACTACATAGAAGAACATTGCTAAAATAAGTAATCTTCAAACTTTTCTGTACTTTGCAAAACATAAATCTCTCACAATGGGAGATAACCTCTGAAACAAGTCATAGTGTGTGTCTACTGTCAGGGATCCCATTGTGTTTACCTGCATTTAATGGCCTCATTTAATTAAAGCTATCAATAATGTTCATTTAAATGTATCTTAGCTCACCGTACTAAAGTTCTGGCTTCATATGAAACCCCATACTTCATAAAATTTACATTACAATTAAGAAATCTCTTGCTCACTAGAAGTTAAGATTATAAACTAAGATACTAAAGATAAATAGAAAGCTGTGAGAGCCACTTCTCTCTGGCAGGACTGAAAAATGCAGTGTTTTGAAGAACAGCTGTGCTTGGACTGGCTTAACATCAGTCTTGTCTTTGCTAAAACTAATTCTCACTCTCAGTCCACCAGCTCTAACATCACATAAAATCAAGAGAACATACAGTTTAGCTGTGTTGTGAACCCCAAGTTGTTCCTTGTGCCCATTGCCACAGGGTGAATGTGGAAATACCGTGAAGTGCACAAGTGTCTAAACTGAGGACAAACTAAGAAATGCAGCTTATCTTCATGGAAATTCATCTTTTCAAACCATATTTGTGCAGCTTCTTACTGCATACTGTAAAACCAGAGAGAGACAGAGGTGGGCTGTGTGTGTGCTTGTGGATATATATTTGTATGTGGTTGTCCATATGTCTGAATGCTTGCATGTATTTATGTATGTGCTTCAAGGCTCCCCCTACTCCACCTGGGGTGAGTATCATCGTCACTCAGCTTCATTACCCATGGCAAATGGAATACATTTGTGTCAGACTGCTGCATCGTGAGAGGGGGCCAGATAAATGTGTTTAATTAAAAACTGTCATATCTACACTTAGGGACGGGACACTCAGAAGAGCATGAATAATCATCAACCACAAATGCAGTGTATGGCATATTCACATTTATTGGGCACTGGCAAACAAACACAAATGGTGCTCACACAATCCTGTGAGACACACACACACACACAAGCAGAGCAGGACATGGTGATGGAGCTAAGAGTGGAACGAAAACAGAACTACTTTGCTCAGCTATGTGTGGCAGTCGCTGTGTGGGGGTGTGTTTGTGGTGTCTATGCCTGCATCTCTGTGTTCCCTCTTGCAACAAGTGCATTTAGCACTTTGTACATGTCCACAGGGGACTAAACAGATGCACTGCACCTGGATTAGAAGGATGGCCTTTTGAGGAAAAAGAAACACTTCAGTGTGTTCATCATGACTGCAGAATGACTCAGTGGTGGATATTTTTCTTGCAAATACTCTAGCTATGCACACTGAACTCGGTTGGCCCGATCTCTACTGATGAGTCATAAAAACTTAGGCACTGTGCTACTGCAGGAATAAAATTATGCAGCGATTTCAACTGCACACTTGTGTGTCTGCATGCACATGCCTGAATGAGTGTGCATGTGGGAAGGAGAGGGAAGGAGGCAGAGACGGAAAGAGTCAGACAGAGAGACAACGAAACTGAGGGTCTTAGATGTCATGGATGAACTAAGCCTCACCAGCACCGTGTGCACATGTGTGTTTGCTGAATTGCATGTATGCAACTGTGGGTAACTGATCTGGAGGTATAATCTGGAAAGAATCGGGTCTGAACTGGGGACAGATGTCACAGGGCTGTTGTGTAACCTTCTAACTCCTTTCCACAAAACTGAAGGTAAAAAAGTGACAGGGGGATCATCTGTGCTAATTTCACCTCACGCTCCGTCATGCTTGCTGCTGCTCTGGTTCCTTTATGCAGCCTACTGATATCGTAAGACAGCTTTTCACCTTGACAATAAATATGTTTTAATATCACAAGTCTTCATGGCATGAGATCTCATCACACCCCTAGTAACCACAGAGCAAAGGTAAGTCCAAAGGAAATGGAAGTCATGTAAATCACAAACTATGTTCTACATGTGTTTTAACTATACCTACAACAAGTGATCAAGGCCACAAGTTTTACTATTAGCTATTCCTTTGCACTTCAAGCACACATACTTCATTAGGTGGGAAATCTTCCTGCTAATCCATGCTGTCATTAAGTTTATGACCCCAGTAGCTAAAAGAAAAACATCATCATGCATCTTTTATTGACAAATATGACCCTGTCCACTGTTAATTAAACTTCAGGGTTAAATAAAACACTTGCGCAGCATGAACACCCACACTCGAAAGACTCTGAAAGTGACTTTTCCCCGCAAGCAAATTCATTACAGTGGTAGGATTGATGAGCCAGGTGTCATTGTGGCTGCAAGATCATAAAACCCAGCATCAGATATGGGGAGATGGAGAGCAGTAATGTGTGGCCATGGCCCTGGCCCTGCTTGTAGCCAGACAGCACACTCTGTGACAGACACTAACCGACTCCTCAAGAGATCAACGCCGCAAGATAATGGAGGCTTTGAGAACACGGAGCCTAGCAGAGGGGCTTGATAGCCCCGCTCATTGTTCCTTTTCCTCTTCATTTCCCTCTGTTGCATACCGACCACTCCACCTACCCTCAACTATGACTTATTAATATCCCAAAGGCATTCATGATATCCTATACATTTCTAAACTACGGAGCATTAGAAATCATGCCTCTGTGTTTTCTCTAATACTTACCCACAGCTGGTTTCCAGCAGACTGTCTCCAACCTGAAGGGAGGCCATGCCAAAGTCTGCTATCCTGATGTTGTTCTTTTCATCTAGCAACAGGTTCTCTGGCTTCAGGTCCCTGTGGCTGCAAGAAAGAGATAAAAAACAGAACATGAGCCATAAAAAAATGTATCATAACATACATAAACTAGGGAAAGGAAGGAGAAAGGTGCACTGCAAAAGCCTGTTGCTCTTACTGAGCGCCCCCCCGCTCTCTGCAACACATTTCTCTTTGATCTGTCCGTGCTGAAACCAGGGGGCTCCCACCTCAGCGCTGGACTCGTATAAGGTGACAGCCTCCTGCTGTGTCCTTTTCTCCTTCTGTTTCCTTCCCTCTTCACCCTTCATCTCCTTCCTCTCATCTCCCAGACAGCCACCAGCAAACTGGTTGAGCAAAGGGCATCAAGGGGAGTCAGCCGCAGAGGTGGTGTTCATTAGCTGCCATTCATTACCTCTAAACACAGCATGGAGGGGTGATATCCAGCAGACGCCATCTCCCTCTTTAAAAGGAACTGTGAGAGGAATATCTTTCTCATATCTCGTATTTACTTATGCTGTTATATGGAATGTTGCTGAACTAAGTTTTGTTGTATTGTTTTTTTTTTCAATGCAATGACTAAAGATTTTATCTAGTGACATTAGCACTTTTATCAACTCTTCCCAATAAGGGTTGATTACATCACAGTACTGGTCTTGTGATGTCTACCAAGGCTGAGGGAAGGCATCATCAGCATCACACACACATATATATGTAAACTTACACTGATAACTATCTTTTCTTAATTCTTCACTCTATGATTATAATCAGTGGCATAGTTAGAGCCACAGGCCTGTCAGGATTTAATGAACTAGACTTTATCTTCTCTTTACACTAATGATAGAAAGGGGAGAAGAACAAGAGCTAGATGCTTCTCCCTTTGAAGAGTGTCTCATCACAATGGGCATTTAACCTTAGATGACATCAGCTGCTGTACAAGTTGTTTCCTGTCCTGGGGGGGATTAGCCGTCAGCTGGTTTGTTATCACACTGGCAGCCTCTGTGATCCTTGCTATAATTGAAATAAAACACAGATAGCATCTAAAACAGTTATCCCCAGGCAAAACCCTTTATCAGTTCACACAACCATCATTTGGCAGTGATGTCAGTAGCCCTGTCTGAGTTAGTCTTTTAGCTATTACCGTCACAGCACATGAGGAAGGAACAAACATTTACTGAACTGCTCAGGGGCCACCAGTGCCTGTGGTTGTACTGGGAATCTCTAAGGCATGTGTGTCTTTAAGCGTCCCTCACTTTCACTAGGCCAGTGCCATTTGGGAAAGTGTTCTTTGTCAGCATGCCTGATTAAATAGTGCTTTAAAAAAAACAATGTTTCTACTGGCAACAGAATGAAAGCTGCAAATCACATGCGACTGGAGTTTCAACATGACACAAAGTCAACTTGTGACCAGAAAAAATACACTGGCATACACAGGAACCAGACTACAGGCTCTGGTGGATGCTGAATAAATTGGTTATGACCTTAATGACAAAAACAACAGCAATGCCAGCATTTATTGTAGCTGACGTTTAAGACTGTGTTTAAACACTGGCTACTATTGACAGGATAACGTCCTGATCCCCACAGACCTCAATCAGAAGATCACAGCCTCAGCCTATCACATGTAAAACAGAAAGAACAAAAACACAAGAGAATGGAATGATCCACAAAAGAATGAAGGCAGCAGCATCGAGAGCATCAAGGAGACAGATTAGATATACAGTAGATGCTTTATTGGTTGTCAGGACCCAGGTATCCATAATAGGATGTTAAACTGTCTCTCTGACACATTAGGCTGCACTTTGCTGCTGTAATCTTGCCCACACAGCAGGCCTTGCAACAAGGATATCTCATATGTCATGCAGGAGCGGATGCTGTTAAATGAACTCAACAGCTACAATGAACTTGACTGTAACAGCAGTCTTTCCTTCCAGAAATGTGGAGGCCATGCACCTGCATCCAAGGAATGCCTTTTTCCAAATATATGTCATGAGTGCACATATATTTTTTACATTGATGGTTTTTGCAGGAAATGAAAAAGTATAAACATTACTGCTACAGTTGGCCCATATACAACACGGGACCACTATATATATAGTAAAACATACTAAATACTCAACTAAGGTCATTATTTGCAGATGAGCATTGTCTTCATCTTAGCTCCACATTGTTAACAACTACAAAGTTCCACCTTGGTCTGTGGCACAGGCCTGACAGTTCACTGTGTACTAAGCTCTCACATGGCATTCTGTATAATTTACAGGGCACACATGTCTACATACTGTAGACAGCAAGGTCTATACCCAGGGGGGCTGTAAGACATGATTCTTGCAATCAAACTCCAAGCTCTTAATTGCCTGTGATCATGTGCACACACCATGCTTATATGTTGTGTTTTACAGGAGGTTGTAATGGGTCTGTCCTCTTGGGGCTCACATCCCTGTAATATCCGAGACATATTTATGGTGAGTAACAGTTTTGCATTCAATTCTCCAACCCAAGGAAAATATGCTTTTCCCACAGTGACACATTTGACAGGCAATATTTAATATTGCCGCTCATTAAGACTGCTCTCATACCAGGATTATGTTGCATAAATTACCTAAATCAGAACACTTGAAACTAGCACTACTGTCCCAAATACAGTCTCTGCCATATGAAGATGCTCAGAAATTACATAGGCACACCTGTTTTTACATTTTCATTAAGTATTAAAGCTACCACTATTGTCATTGGAGTGGAGTTTTTAAGTAAAATGCAACCACTTAGCTCGCAGGACACCTCTGTGTCATTCTGCTCTTTATATCATTCCTGTTTCTCTCAAACTCTTGTAGGCTTCTGTTGACCCAATTATAGAGAGACCCAGCACATTCACTAAAAGGCTTTAGGCTAATATTCCATCACATTAGCAAAAGAGGACAACTTTCTGACTGCTGCCTTGTGTGCGCTAGGCACAATCATTCATTAGCCAATGGGGATCATTTTATATTAGGTGTAATGAGGGATGCGAAAGATAAATTTCTTTTTTTCCTGTCTAATGGAACTGGTCTGATTTTTTTTCCTCACTTCTGCTTAAAGCAAAATAATTAGTGAATTGTGTGTTTCTTTTTTGAAAGTAGCCAAAAAGTTCCAAAATCCAGTGTACTATATTTGGAATGCAGTTTTCTCAAGGAAGTAAGTAAGGCCAGGTTGGTGCAAGTCAAATGTGAAGTACTCAAGCAAGATCACAAAGTAAAGGTTTCTATTCGCCTGTTTTAGCAGGAAAATTTTGCTGATTTTAGTAGAATTCACACACAGACTGTACCCAATCTCACTGAATACTTACTCTATCCATTTAGTAACAACTCATTTAAAGGCAACAGATTATAACGTACTGTAATAATCAGATAACTCATTTAAAGGCAACAGATTATAACATACTGTAATAATCAGTCTATACTGTATATAATTTGCAGGCTCCTCATACAGTATAGCTGTTTGTCCCTTCCTTCTCATTCGATCCACAGAATCCTGAAAAAGCCTCCTACATTTGAAGGCAGAATTGCAAAATTTCTGCCAAAGTTAACAACATTCATCGCATCAGCAAGCTTTACAGACTTCCGATGTCATGGAAACAGCCATAAAGGTAAGGATATGGGAACTCAAGGAAACCGTCATAAGCATGGCACATGGTTATAAAACCATTGGTTTCATTAGGTTTTGTCACACAAACTGCTTGGTTAGGGTTCAGTAACAAAAAGTACGTGGTTAGGTGAAAAACACTCAAGACACCAGACCTGAACCTGGGGGAAAGCCAGGTGTGTCATGTACCAAACCCCAGGTTTATGCTTCTCTATACTACATCTCCTAACTTCCTCCTTTGCTCATGTGATCATAGAGGATAGAAGTGCCAAACTATAATATTTAACTGTGGGTTGTAATTGGGACATTTTTTTTTTTTTTTTTAAAGGAAGGACAGTTTTTACTCTCTCCACTAGGATCATTACATATCACTGTTGCTTGTGATAGTGATGTAGTGGGCTCACAATGGTACAAAAATATTACACAAAGCAACATAAAACCAGGTAATGGTGTCAACTGTTGCTGATTGTCCCTGCTCTGAATATTGTCTGGTGTTATGTTCACTGATAACACACTACACAACAAAGATTTTCCTGAATTGTGAACTATAATTAGTCAATTAAATATTATTTCAAATTCTGCCAGGTATTTTCTTTTTTCATTTCCTCATATCATTTCATGTTTGCTTACATTTGAACTTACATCCGTATCATGATCTTTGGAGTTCACTTGGATGGCTACAGGCTAGTGCTTACTGCCTCTGTTCAGTATCAGTATCAACATTTCAGTTGTCTCCTCTCATATAACTTGAACATAATTCCATTTCTGTTGACAGGAAAGCACACAACATTTTCCCTTCACTGAACATTTGCCTCTCCATCACCTGATTACAGTACAAGAGCATTCATTTTACTAATCAAGCATTCCTATATATTCCTTTAAAGTTTTGAGCACCCTTAAGGAATTAATGTCTTGTTGCATTTAATGCAATGAGTAAAAAGTGGAATTACAATGATGGCTAGATCGATAATAAACTCTTTGTTCTGTCGTGACAAATCTGTGTGTGCAAGCCAACGTTTGCTCTTAATCCAGAAGAGTTTGCCTGGGGAGGATAAGCTGCTGACCTTCTAGGCAGAAGCTGTCAGAAATGCACTGGAGTGAGAAAGTGGCATGGATATTAAAAACCCAAAGCAACATCAGGCATCCAATATTGGCAATCTTGGTGGTGGATGCTTCCTCAACTAACTTCTTGTCCACTGACCATTTTACAGCCTATTTTATTTTACTTCCCAATTGCTTCCTTCATTAAAACCAGTCTTTCCAACTTTCTTATAAGGTTTCCCCATCCCAACCATCAAGACATCCTACCTAAATCAAGCATCATAAACCAACTTTTCATTCTTTCTCCTGCCCAGTTTTTCATATCCATTCCACCTCCTCTCAACAACCTTGCAGCTCTCCTCTTCTCACCCAGTTACACTTCAACA